CCCCAAAACCCCAAAACCCCAAAACCCCATAATATTAAAACTCATCATTTTTAAAGGACTTACGAAAATAAATTATTAACAGTAATTCAAAATATAAGCTGGAAAATTTAGGAGTGTAATAAAAACTGAACCAAAAAATATGACTATAGACATCAATAAGCAAATATCATTAAATGACTATTTGACATTTTAAAGCATCAAATTTACTTTAATATAACCCCCTGCCTCTTGATCCACTTGTACTTCTAGAACTAATGATATTTGTGATGTTTCTTAATCCTAATTAAGCAGCACATATTATTCCATCCTATTCATTATTGTTTTTTATCCTAGTTTAAGACTTTTCTCCTTCATTATTTCTACTACTATTCTTATTGTGGTCATAGAAATTAAGATTTTTCATACTGTAGGAAATATTGTAGGATGTCTCATTCTGATTTACTTTACTACCACTTAATAAGCTTTATCTCCTTGATGATTATTAAGTATTTGATTATGACGGTCGAATTTCTAGTATATCTGAGATATTGCTATCAAGATGTCTTCTGTCAATTGATTTTATCTTTTGTTCATCAAATATATGACCAAAATCCTTTTACATACCAAAATCTTCCTACTCAGGTGAAGTCAGCAAGAGCTTATTTAATCGTTAATGAGCATTAATTTGTTCAGAGGATATTTTTGGCATTTCCATAGGTACAGTTGAACCTGATAGACCTGTAACTTAACTTGTGTAGTCAAGATTTATTTTCTTCGTAGTTGATAGACTATATTTAATTGTTAATTATTATGAATATAGAAAATCGTTTATCAAGAAAGTTACTTTGTATTTTTTTAAAAAAAAACTTACTTAAAGTGAGCAGAGGATTATTTTGATTTGTCAGGTCTCATTGTATAAGAATTATTTCCTATGTAAAAATCTCCTTTCTACTAAGGAGAAACAACCTTTATAGTTTTTGAATTCATATAATTTGATAAGTTCGAATGAAGTTTAATAGTTGGTCTGTAAGGTTATTCATTTTCAAGTTCTAATGTACTGTAAACAATCTTGAAATTTGATTTATGAACTTTTTCATTTGTCATTCTTCTGGTACCAGTTATTGATGCTTCCTTGTTTCGAGACATACTAGGGTTTCTTGTTCTATTCATTTCATCCATCAATGAATAATCTATTTTAGGGGCGGCTTTTCGACTATTAAAATGAGAAGGAGTTTCTGCTTAATATTCAACTGTATTATAGTACTTGTGCTGTAAATCGATGATCCTTGATGATAATTAATTTTCCATTTATCTTGATCTTTGATTCACTGAATCTTATATAGTAGCCATGTCAATAGAGTTGCCACCACTTACTTAAGGCTTTTCTTATTTTTATTGAAGAATGTAATTTACTATATTTTTTCTTTTCTGTTCTAAATCCTAGTGGGCTTACTTTTAATTGGTAAGTGATATATTAGGATATTCTATTTTTGACTAGTTTTTTGTTAAAATTTGTTTTTTAGATTTACATTTAGGAGGTAATTTGTAAGAATTTTGATGTCCCAAAGCTTCTTTGAACTGAGAATCAATTTTTGTAAACTTCTCAATTATCTCTTGACTAGCGATATGCAATTAATGTCTTTAGTAATCCATTTTACGACTTGGAGATGCTACGAATTTCTAGTTAATTCTTCTATCAACTGAGTTTCTCATATTCTAGGAAGTTGCAGTACTGATTGATTGGCAAGTATTTGATGGAATTTTTTGCTTAATTGAACTACTCATTGATGCCTGTAATGATTGTCGCTTCATTGTGAAATTTTTCATTACAAAGAATAAAAATTATACTTTATCTTATAAAATAAAAATTAATTTACAACTTAGATATTTAAAAATTAGATTAATCTATAGATGTCGGGGTTTTGGGGTTTTGGGGTTTTGGGG